CAGATGTATGTGGGAAAGGCACTTGCACCTCTCAGACATAAGTATTCCTCCATCAAGATTATTCATTATATGGATGATGTGTTATTGGCCGCTAAGTTAGAGCAGATAGTTAATGAGGCCTATAAAGACTTAGTAAAGCTGTTAGCTCAATATGGGCTACATATTGCACCTGAAAAAGTTCAAACGGGAAATTCTATTGAGTATTTGGGAGCAATAATTGGGTATGATAAACTGAAACCACAAAAAATCACCATAAGAACTCAAGATCTCCAAACTCTGAATGATTTTCAAAAACTGTTGGGAGATATTAATTGGATAAGGGGATATTTACATATTCCTAATGGTGTGCTCCAGCCTTTGTATGCTACCCTTAAGGGTGATCCAGATCTTGCTTCTCCTCGTAGCCTCACCAAAGAGGCTAGAGCGGCCCTTATAACAGTAGAAGAAGCTATACAACATGCTACTCTATGCAGGCTCCAAAGTGATAAATCTTTCCAGTTATGTGTGCTTGCCACTATGCGGCAGCCTACTGGAGTACTGTGGCAAGATGGGCCTTTACTATGGATCCATCCACATATATCCCCAGGAAAATCTTTAGAATACTATCCTGATGCTGTTGCAGCGTTAGCACTTAAAGGGATTCACCAAAGCATTCAATTTTTCGGACAATCACCTTCTTCTCTTATTATACCCTATACTAAGGCTCAACTTAATGTTTTGTGTGCTACTCTAGACAACTGGGCTATTCTATGTTGCTCGTTTCAAGGGGATATTGATAATCATTACCCTTCCCATCCATTACTCCATTTTGTTAAAGAACATCCCATCATTTTCCCTAAGGTAACTTCACCCAATCCAATTCCGGGGGCTGTTAATATTTTCACTGATGGTTCCAAGTCTGGAATGGGAGCTTATGTAATTAATGATTCTCCCCCTGTTCAGCATCAATTTGCTCCTGGTAATCCACAATGGGTTGAACTGCAAATTGTTATTGAGGTTTTTAAACAGTGTTCTTTTCCTTTTAATCTTATCTCGGACTCCATTTATGTGGTACAAGCACTCAAAGTCCTGGAGGCCGTGGGAGCTATTAGTAATGCCCATAATGTATCTGCTTACTTTAATCAGCTTCAACAACTTATTTGTAGCCGCACTGCTCCTTTTTATCCAATGCACATACGGGCTCATACTTCTCTTCCTGGTCCGTTATCACAGGGTAATGCCTGTGCGGACTCAGCCACTAGAGGCCAGTTGATATGCTTGGCTTCCTCCTTAGAGGGGGCTAAATTATTTCACCAAAATTTCCATGTTAATGCTTTAACGCTGCGCAGGTGTTTTTCCATTTCAAGAGCGGATGCTCGTCAGATAGTACTACAATGTCCCCATTGTGTCACATTTCTTCATCCCCCTACTTATGGAGTGAACCCACGGGGATTAAAACCATTGGTTGTCTGGCAAATGGATGTGACGCACATACCTGACTTTGGTAACCTCAAGTATGTACATGTTTCTGTTGATACGTGCTCTGGAGTTATTCATGCCTCTGCTTTGTCGGGAGAGAAGGCACGTAATGTTATCACTCATTGCCTAGAAGCATGGGCAGCATGGGGTGCTCCTGCATCCCTTAAGACTGATAATGGACCTGCTTATACTGGCAGACAATTTACATCCTTTTGTTCTACCATGGGAGTGCAACTTACTCATGGTCTGCCTTACAATCCTCAAGGACAAGGCATTGTTGAGCGTGCTCATCGCACCTTAAAGGAAACTTTACAAAAACAAAAAGGGGGAATAGGAGCTGAACACACTCCTAAAGAACGCCTGTCCTTAGCTCTCTTTACCATTAATTTTTTAAATTTGGATATTCATGGTCCCTCTGTGGCTGATAGACATGTGTCCCCTCAGCCCTCTGTGATTGGTTATGTTAAGTGGAAGGATGTTCTTACAGGCCAATGGAACGGCCCCAACCCCGTGCTGACATGGGCACGAGGATCTGTATGTGTTTTTCCCCAGGATCGCACGGAGCCGTTGTGGGTCCCTGAACGCCTGACAAGAAGAGTCTTGACATCAACCGACCAGCAACAAGAGATACCACAGCAACCCTGTGATGAGGATCTTCACTCTGCTACGTGCTCTGGTTCTGGTGCTGGTGCCGATGGCACAGACGACACCAATGCAGTGGTGGGCAGTGGCACGGGCTTGGCCAATGCCGATGCCGGTTCATGGTAGTTCTAGTGTCCTCCCCACTCTTTTCTCTACCTCATGTGAGATGTCTGCTCCCTGTGCCTCTCCTAGAGGGGACGTGGAAAGCATTTTTAATCGATCTCAGGTTAATCTCACAGGAGTTTTTTGTTTCAGCCTTGGAAACGCTAATTGCATTAGCCTTAAGACCAAAAATTTGACTAACTGGGAGGACCCATTGCGGTCCAATCAGGTCTCAGGGAGTATTATTAATGCTGTACTGAGCCAAGTAGTTTCGGGGAAGCAATCAGGTTCAGGGACCCCTGTAAATAGCTCTGCTTTAAACATAACTACCTTGGCTATGATCTCCAAGATACTAATCCCAGTGCCTCCTTCTTCTAATAGTACTTACAATGCCACTCATTTCAAGGCCTCTCCTTACTGTACCCCTAATCTTGGTTTCCCCCCAACATTTATGCCTTGTCAGGATCATTCTTGGGAGAAACTTCAAGTTGCTAAGGGTTTCTCCTTTTCCCCCTCTCTTAAGAGGTATGTTTATAATTTTAACCATAGTGCCAACTCCTCTACAGGAGTAGGTTGGTCCTGGTTTCAATGGCTGATTTCCAATGAGAAGGGGGCTTCAGCTGATATTTCTGCATTGGCTCAATTGCTGGGAGCCAAAAGCTGGCTGGCTAATGTTTCTGGCACTGTTAGAAAAAGTGAACGAGGTAATAGGCTCACATCTGTTTCGCTCAACTCTTTGCTATATAATGCCACATTGCCTCCTGCAATGGTCTGCGTCCAATCCCCGTTCTTGCTCCTTTTGGCTAATAATACCTCGTCGGGGATGCTGGATTGTTCTAGTGTTACCTGTCTCTTATCTGAGTGTTGGAATGGTTCTTGGACTGTAGCAGTGGTTATGAAAATTCCAACCTTTGTCCCAATCCCAGTCACTGCGGACCCAGATAAATTCCCCATTGTTGAACTACTTAGAGTCCGCAGAGATTTTGGAATTACGGCAGCTATAGTGACAGCTGTGGCAGTGTCTGCTGCTGCAGCAGTTACAGCTGGAGTAGCCATGGCCAGTCAAGTACAAACTGCTGCCACCATTAATCAAGTTGTTCAACAAACTTCCACTATACTTGAATCCCAAAATTCAATTAATCAACATATTTTGTCAGGGATTTTAGCTGCCAACCAAAGGATAGATTTACTTCAAGCTCAGGTAGAAGAATTGGCTGACTTGGTGCTTTTGGGTTGTGTTGATCAACGTGCACATTTATGTATAACCTCTGTCAGATTTAATGATTCCAGGAATGCCTCCCGCATCATTGGCGAATATTTGGCCGGAAATTGGTCCATGGCAGCGGAAGACATGATCCAGTCTCAACTAACTCAGATTGCTGTTTTGAATAGTACCCGTGTTGAACCAGTGACTTTGGGTCAATTCACCGATTGGATATCTTCTGCTTTTTCCTTCTTCAAAGAGTGGGTGGGAGTAGGCATTTTTGGTGCAATGTGTTGCTTCAGTGTTATACTTTGTTTGTGGTTTCTCTGTCGCCTTAAAACTCGCCATGCACAAGAAAAGGCTATGATCATACAAGCTCTTGCAGCTTTAGAAAATGGCAACTCACCTCAAGTCTGGCTTGCGCATCTTAAACAGTAAACCTTTGTCATGGTCGTTGCACCCCAAGTTATGATAACATTGCACTGGGATCGACATGACTTTCCTTGTTATTCTCTTAGTGTTGGAAAGCCCTTGCACTCTGCCGGTCTTACTGCCATTGCACGCAGATGGGTTTCCACACTAGTGCTTTACTATCGCTTTAAAGTCCGTGCCTTTCTTTCAGGGTGCTGTCAACTTGTTTGTCATTATAAACAGCCACAGTTCAGCCTCAGCTATCCCCCTTCGTCCACCATCGTCACGATACAGGATGCGAGGCAAGGCACTGCACTTGAGTGATCCTTGACGTGGACCTCAAGGAGAGCATGTCCTATTGCATGCGGGTTAGACGCGTCCACGCCCCGCCCCACGAAAAAAGGCGTCGGCTGATATGGCCTCGGATCTGGGGAAGGGCCCTCCTTAGGACTGAGCCATACTATGCAGCCACTTCTGCACAGTGGGATAGGACCTCTACTCTCGCCTGTATTGTTTTAATAAAACAGAAAGGGGGAACTGTGGTGAGCCGCTTCTGCCGTTTCTGCAGACTATGGTCGCCATTACGAGATGGCGCTGGCTCCGCTGTGGTATGTGACAAACAACTCCTTATCTGAGAGAGTTGGCACATGATTTTTCACCACCCTGTGAGAGAGCTCCACGCGGCAGCTTTGCATTGGGGCTTGGGATGCTTTATTAAGGCTGGGAGGGCATCCGGGAAGGAGAGAAGAAGAAAGAATAAGAAATATCAAGGGACCTGAATAAACTGCTGAGAGAAGATTCCTGAGTGTTGCGTCTTCCTTGCGGGCAAGGGGTCGCGACAAAGAAGATTCAGATAAGCTGTTTATTTTAAGACCCAAAGTCCTTATTTGTAGGAAATTTCTAAGAACCTCAGAGATTTCAGACTAAATGTAATTTTTAATTAATTAAAAAAAATAACACTTTTTCTAACTTAATAATTCCCCAATGAGATTTATAAGAAAAGTATATAAATCTCCATTGGAGATCTGAAACATTATATATGAAAAATTCCATTTACATAGAGCCACAATCATCTTGGTTTCCTGAAATCAAACCATACATTCTTGGTCTTCAGACTTTAATCTATACTTTTGCCTTTGGTCATAAACATGTCATTTTCCCGTATGGAAGGACTACTCATCTACTACAATATCACACATCTCCCAGAGAGCTTCCTGAGAGCTGCCACCACCTCTTTGTTTCTCAGGCTGTAGATTATGGGGTTCAGCATGGGAGTGAGGATATTGCTGAAAACAGAAAGTGCCTGGTCCTGCTGTGGACTATGAGAAGAAGTAAAAGTCATGTAGATGAATATATTTGGGCCAAAGAAAAGACTCACCACTATTAGATGGGAAGAGCAGGTGGCCAGAACTTTCCTTCTGCCCTTAACAGAATTCATATGGAAAACAGTAATGAAGATAAAAGTATAGGAAGTTGTGATGAGACTAAAAGGGACAACAAGCAGTATAATGCTTGTCACTACCACCACTAACTGATACACTGAAGTGTCTTCACAGGAGAGCTTAATGAGGACTGGGACCTCACAAAAGAAGTGTTGGATTTCCCTTGACCCACAGATGGGAAAATGCATCGGATATACTGTGTGAATAAATGAACTTGAAGATCCTCCAATCCAACACCCAGCAATCATGTGCAGACAGATCCTGGTACTCATGATGGTGGGATAACGCAATGGGTTACAGACAGCCACATAACGATCATAAGCCATGAGAGTCAAGATGAGGCATTCTGACATTCCCAACATCAGAAAAAAGAAACTTTGTGTTCCACAGCCAATCCATGATATGCTCCTTTTCCCTGAAAAAAAGTTTGAGGCCATCTTTGGGACAATGGTGGAAGTTAATGTCAAGTCAATGATGGAAAGTTGACTGAGGAGAATGTACATGGGTGTATGGAACCGAGAGTCACTGCAAATCAAGACAATCAAAAGTATGTTTCCCAAGAAGGCAAGGATGTAGATAAAGATGATTATGGAGTTGAGAACAGTGGAATGCCGAAATTCAGGAAAGAGTCCCACAAGGATGAAATCACTGACTAAGGTCTCATTCCCATGCATCATGCCTCTGTAAGAAATGTAACAAGGCTGGGGCACAAATAAAGTAGATTAAAACCAGTGATATTCGGTATACGTATATCAATCAGTATATTCACTATAATATATAAATCTATGGATCAAATATTTTTAACATTCTCTCCAATTCTGGATTAACAGATAGTATTTGCCATCATCTCACCAGAGACTCTTTACCATATATTGTTCAACAATCATCTAAATTTTGTTAAAATGGAGAATACTGAAAAGACTGATCAACTTCAGTGTTTCTTAGCCTCTGTAGAACTGACAATTTTGTTTGTTCTTCTGTTTTTTTAAGGTGGGTAAAGAACCTTGTAAACTGTAAACCTACCTTCTAAAATTTTGAACCTCCATTTCTAATAACCATGGGTTCTAGTTATTAATAATTGTATATTTGAACAAAAACATAAAGGAAAACCTAGTTAATTTATTCAATTTAGCTGTTTAAATTACAAATCAATTATTTAATAAAATTTAATTAAATATACTGTTTTATTTTCCTTTTTGGCTAATTTTCATCATGCCATAAATAGAGCAACAGAAATTTCTGGGTTTACATAATAACCCTGCCCCCAAATCATTAATATTCCCTATTGCTGACCAAGTAAAGTTTTAATATCTAGAATTCTAAATCTTCAGTGACTTGGAGCCAAGCTGCCTTACAAAATTTATATTCTATTATTTTTAAACATATTACTCAAATTCCAGCCAAATGAGTACTCTTGTGGTGTTCCCACAATGTTTTCATGCTCACATATATGCACCTTTGTTTTTATTTTCCTCAGGATTAACCATTTCATTTCTATTGTTGGAGCTTCTTCAAAGCTTACAATCTCATGAAATTCTAAAAAGATTTCTCCCTATCTACTTGGGTTCCTCTATCCCTTAGTGGCATAACTCCTGCCATTTTACCAGCATAATAGAGAGACTGTGTAGTTTGTAGGCTAAGAGCACAGATCAGGGTTTGTGCTGTTTCAAAGTCAAGCCCCATCCATTTAGTATCTCAAGGGGTAGTCATGAGACTTAGATGAGTTACTATATTTAAACTACTTATGACATTGACTGGTACTATTTATCTTTATTACAGTTTTCTGTGTACCCATATTTCTTTTAAAATAATAATATTTGAGTGTTAGGATTATGTTTTACTTCACCTAAGTCCAATAAAACCAGGTCAATAACTTCAAAAGAGCATAAGCTATTAACCATTTGCTAAACAGAAAGTTGAACAAATTCCATGGAGTTCAGCGTTTTCACATTTTTCATGGAGACAAGGTTGCACTTGTAGAAGTTTCCATATTTATAAGCATTTTCTGTCAGAACAGGACTGAAGAAGCACATATGTCAAAAGACATGGACATTCAGTTTTCTATTATTGGATCAGGAAATTTCATAATGTAAGACAATGCCACCTTCTAGTTTAAGTTCATGGTTCTTTTATGGGTATTTATAATTGGGTCATATTTGTGACAAATGATATCGGTGAAGAAGAAAAAGCACTGCTGTTATTTTAGTCATTAGTCTAAAGAAATATAAACTACTGAGCTAATAATTAAACATTCTGTCATTAGTGAGCATCAAGCACTAATTCTACTGAAAGTTAGATTAATATTATTTCAGAGTGGCAATTAAAATAGTTCTTGAAAATCCTTTATCATTCATTCATTTTTATGTTACATTTGCTGGTATTCACTTTATTTTATACATATTCTACTAGGTGCTAAAATGGGAGCATGAATGAATTAGGACAGGGTCTATATCTTCAATAAACCCTGAGTTGACATATGAAATAAGTGCTATATCAACATAGAGGAGAGTACTAATGTCTGGGGAAAAGAAGCCTGGTGAGTTAGATAAGAAATTATTTTAAGCTGTGTCTGCCATATTTACACAGCAATTTATATAAATATGAAAAACAGTGGGTTCCTCATAATTAAAAACCCAGGTCAATTGGTGAAAGTCACATGGCATAAGTAGGTAAAAAACAAATTGGAATTCTTACACATATTTATCTTTAAAGTTTTTAAACCATATAACCCTGAAAGTTTGCAAATTTATTATCCTGTATAATCTCATAGAATTCTTATCTGTATATTTATGTTTAGACACATTATCTGGCCTGTCCTTTTCTTCCACTGAACTAAGAACTCCATTTACCTACACATGTAGAACACATCTGTCTGTTATAGGACTCGATTTATTTTAATTTGGGGGGTAGGTGGGTACTGGGGATTGAACTCAGGGGCAGTCAACCACTGAGCCACATCCCCAGCCCTTTTTTTGTATTTTATTTAGAGACAGGATCTTACTGAGTTGCTTAGTGCCTTGTTTTTGCTGGTGCTGGCTTTGAACTCATGATCCCCTATCTCAGCTTCCAAGCCACTGGGATTACAAGCATGCACCACCACACCTGGCTAGGACCTGATTTATTTGTCTAGAGCAAAAGTAAGTAAAGGATCTCAACTATAAGGTGATCACGAAGCATTGCACTAAGTGCACAAAAATTGTCAATGATTATAATTATCTCAGTATCATTACAGTTACCCTGTTCTGCAAGTTGCTCTAGTTCTATTATAACAAGGCATAACATTCATCAAAATTATGAGTTTATACCTTCATAACTTTGTATTCATCAGGTTACATGTTATAACTTTGAGAATAAAAGTGGTAAAAAGATCAAAAATAGATTAAGTAGAATAGCTAATGTTTAATCATTAAAATTAGAGGTAAATGAAAAACATCAAAGTATGTTTAATTCATTTGTATTTTAATTTAGTAATTGTTATTTTAAAATCTTAATGTTTCATAAGTACATGCTAGATAATCATCAACTAACTAAAACAAAAAAAAATGTATCATTTTAAGGAAAAAAAAACATATGGATAATGAATAAAATTAGACCATTAACACTATTCTTTGAGTAGAAATATGAATTGCCACTATAAAAAGTTCTAAGTAATTTATTAAATAACTCCTAAAAAATACAGCATATTTCATCATTTAATTATTCAATTGAATAAACATTTATTGATGGCCAGCTTTAACATATTATTTATTTCCTTAATAAAGATGAAACCAAATCTACACAAAATGAGGATCATAATGTTATATTATATATATATATATTACTTTACTAACCTTTTTAAAAAATCTTCCATTTATAAATATCTATATCATTTTGGAACACAATATGTCCTTGATGTTAGCATGATTTCAGATTTTTTCTGTGAGTACATAGAAGGTAGTTTGAAATAAACTCAAGTCCCCAGAATCACAGCTCAATAAACATTTTTTCTAAAAGGAAAAGCATAAATTCAATGACTTATTCTACTTATTAAATTAAGCACATGATGATTAAGGGTGGTACAGAGTTAAAAACAGATAGTCAAACATAAATATTGACTCCATACTACTTCCCCTAAACATAAATTTTAAGCAACCTACCAAATATATGTTTAAGACTGTCACTAATCCTGTTACAGGTATTATCACCAAATTCTGACATCTGTGAAAATTAACATTAGCCATATAAACTCTCTATATAATTTCCATGTCCAAGCAAGGTACATAATGTACTTTTCCCCCAGTTTGAGATCTAGCTTAAATACTGTTTAAATCGCTACTGCTCTTAGAATTGCTGACGTTTAAATTTTCTGCACTCAGATGTATCTTCTCACTATGTAGCCTATTTTTACATAGAAAATTGTTGGCTAGAAAAATGTTGCTGGCTAGATGTAGATGGTAAACTCATTCATCTGTGGAAATGATCCTACACTACTAGGAAGATTGAAAACTGACTTGTATTATTTTTTTCTGTTCTTTTTTGAAATTTTAATTTGTTATATATGTGAGCAGAATGCACTGCAATTCATATTATACATATAGGGCACAATTTTTCATATCCCCTGTTGTACACAATGTAGTCACACCATTCGTATCTTCATGCTGACTTGTATTATTGATTAAGATCTAACTTGGCAGATTATTTGGTAACTTGTCATTAAGGCCTTGAAAAAATTTTAGTAAATACCCCAGGGGAAGAGAGTCCCCAGACTTTAATTAGTTTTGATCTCAAACCAAAATAACAAAACACAGAAATTAGAAAAAAAAAATGTGTAAAATAAATATTCTTTACCATGGAAAATATTCAATTGTGTCCAAATCCAGTCTTATTGTTTTTGTGATAACCATGGGTAGATGACCAAATGTTATCAGAAATGTTCAAACTAACATATCCTGTGAATTTCAGAACTAGGATAGTCCATTTCAATTTCTTCATATTTACTTACTTGCATGCGCATGAATACACACACACACAAAAAAAAAAAAATTGCCTCAATATGTTTTATGAAAAAATTCTTTCACAACAGCTTGATTATTATATAGCACTATTTTAGCATACTGATATAACTAAAATTAACTTTAGGTCAAAGAGATATAAATTAAAAGTCTCTCTACAACTTGGTAGCAAACATTTTATTCAGATAACTTGAATATCTGTGTTTTACTTGTGTTATTTGTAAATGTGGTGGTAGTAATAGCTGTCTTGCTAAGATGTGTTTTAAATATATCATTGGGTTTTCTAAAGTGTGCAATCCTTTGAAATGTTTCTCAGCAAGTAAATGCAATGTACTATCTTGGTTAATCATTATCTGCTTCTCAGAGTTAGGTTTCTTTTGCATCCCTTAGTCAAACACACAGCATCTGAAGAAAAAAAAACCAATGTTTCTTTTCTCTGAAACATCATATTGTCTCTGATTGAATCTGGCAAAACCACACAAAAAGTATTAGAGAAATAATTATCATACATATTCTGTCAAACCCCTTCAGAAACAGCAGTGAATTGTCACCTAAAGGTAAATCAAATGGAGGCAAATGTATTTTAGAAGAAAGTTGGAGAAGGCTACCCAAGATTGTGGAAAGGAAGTGAGCTATAGGTCCCATTTCTTTGCAGTTTGCAATCAAGGAAGTCAATGAACATC